AAGATATTTTGGTATTTGTAGTTGTAATAGTTTATTTGCTGCTTTTAAGAATGACTTTATATCTGTATGTTCTTGATTGGTTATGAATGCAGTAATGATACGTTTTTAAAATGCTGAATTTATTTCACGCCAAATAACTCCATCCCCTTCAATTTGGTTTGGAATGACTCGTAATGAATTAACATTTCCTCCGACTTTTATGGAATTATTTAAATTAATTTCGATTGAATTCAAATGAGTAGCGCATGTTTGACATCTCTGTCGTATAGCTCTACTTAAGTTAGGCCGTAACATATATTCTTCAAGAGAATTCAAAGCGGTAATTATTATATTTTACACTCTAATAAAATCATCCTTATTAGCGTCTGAGTTATAATAGGCTTTACATAAATCGCGTACTGTAATTTTAAAATAAGAAATAGAAGCCATTGTAATAAAAATGTGCATAGGATAAAAAGTAATACTACTACTACTACTACTGCTTGTCACTGCTAAGAAACCTAGTGAAGCGGGCTGTCTCGAAAGACTACGCTCTTTTCCAATCGAGCACGGCTTTTAAGCACTATGGTGGCACTGAAAGCAGCGGTTTTGGCACTGTAGGTTGAAGAGGGGGTAGTCAGACGAAAGGTAAGAGGTGGGTGGGTGGGTGGTGGCTGCGCCTAGCACGCTAGAGACGCTACCCCCTCTTCGAGGGCCCACACTCAGCTAGCATAAGCTTACTAAGCGCCCTACTATCGAAGGAGAGCGAGAGAGAGAGAGAACGGCATCCACACTATACGACGTACGCGTCTAGCAAGCTAGAGACGCTAGCCCCTCTCCGAGGGTCCACACTCAGCCAGCATAAGCGCTCTACTATCGAAGGAGAGCGAGAGAGAGAGAGAGAGAGAGAGAGAGAGAGAGAGAGAGAGAGAGACCATCATATAGTTTACCAAACACCCTACCGACTTCTACAGCATCGTACCTTAACAACCTCTTAGGTAGGTGGGTGGGTGAGGAGGGGGGGAGGGCTCTGTGGAAGTGGCCCACTGGCACGCGGGAGGTGTCAAACGAACATCAAATGCCCTTTAAACACTCAGCATGGGGTCTCACCTTAAATTAAAAGGTATCACTACCGCGACACCCTCATCGAGCGGCCTCTTTGTGTCCCAGAACATACACATATCCCTTATACAATGGCGGCACGCGGGAGTGGTCAAAGGTACATCAAATGCCCTTTAAACACTCAGCATGGGGTCCCACCTTAAATTAAAAGGTATCACTACCGCGACACCTTCATCGGGCGGCTCCTTTGTGTCCCAGAACATACACGTATCCCTTATACATTGGCGGCACGCGGGAGTTGTCAAAGGTATATCAAATGCCCTTTAAACACTCAGCATGGGGTCCCACCTTAAATTAAAAGGTATCACTACCGTGACACCTTCATCGGGCGGCTCCTTTGTGTCCCAGAACATACACGTATCCCTTATACATTGGCGGCATCTTTTGTCGGCTCCTTTGTGTCCCGGAACATACATTGCTTATCTACTATTAAAAGAGATCATGTTTTATAAGATTTAATTGCGAGTGAATCTTATCCCCACAAACCTTTCCTGATCAGCGCGGTTAGTCTCTGTGGGAAAATTAGCACCGCCTTTCCTTGCCTATTAGAACCTTAAATATTAATGGCAGAGCCCGGCCCCTGCAAAGTTCTAAGATGATAGGTACGCAATATAAATATAAAACATTTTTAGACCTTATAGGCCCTAACCTAATATTCATATCAGGCCCAATTTGGAGACAATTTACAGGAAAGCGTCGGGAAGTGCGAAAGTTACTTTTTATGAAGTCTGAGTATTTCTAATGAAAAACCGTGATTTGGACCTTATCAAACCTATAAATTCATTGGACCCTAATTTTGGGACCATTCTTGATGCAATCTGGACAAACGAAACACCTTATGTACTTATGATTTTTTCATATAAATGCATTCTCGATGAGTAAATACATAGAACACATTATGCAAATGACGTCGCATATATACAACCTTTATTTATTATGACCAAAACAAATTGTTGAGCTACTCACATCTCAAGAGCAACTATCGATGATCACCATAGTAAGTTAGTAGAATTATTTTATCATTTTATCGACCTCAAATTTACGTTTCAAAAAAAAATCCACAAATAAAATTTACATTTTTTGTTGAAAAACATTGAAAATATATTGTTTAAACTATTTTTGCGTTGATCTGATATCGGATTTGAAAAGAGCAGACCTAAATAAGTTAGAAAAGATGCTTTACCATAGTATTAAATTATTTTTTCAATGTACTAGATTTGCTAATTTCGGCCATGTGAAAGACTTACCTCGATCAGGCAGAAAAAGGTCAGCATCAAATGAGTAAAAGTAACGCGATCTTTTTTTATTACAATTCCACCCACAAAGCCTCTCCAGAGCACGAAATTAGTAAATCTTCTGTATGCAACATGTAAAAAGCAAAATTTCATGTCATTCATCAATCCAAAACTTGTTTGCACATTGAATAAAGACGATTTCGATCGTCGCGTTCAATTTTGTGAAGATATGATGGCACGCACAGATGGTGATCCTATCATTACAATCAATGTAGCCTTTTCAGATGAAGCAATTTTCGAACTTGATGGAACGTTAAATAGACATAATTCCAGATATTGCTTTACTTCGAAATCAAATAATTCCTGTAATTAGAGAGATAGCTGGAGACAATTTCGAAGAGATAGAGTTGCAGCAGGGCGCACCAGCTCGCTAGCAAGAAGCGTGCGCCCTCACTTAAATGAAGTATTCTTTGATTGGTTGATAGAACGAAGGAACACAACTGAATGGCCGGCTAGGTCACCTGACTTAACACCTTTAGATTACTTCTATAGGGGTTATCTGAAAGTTAGGAAATGCGACAAAGGATCGTAGATGTATCAACCCTCATTAAAATTTTTTTTATTACTCCAAATCTATTTCGAATTTGGAATAAAATGCTGTACTGATCAATGCTAGTCATCAAATACGAAAGAGAGACGACTCACATAAATCTAGCATCCAGAACGTAAGAGGCAAGGAGCCTTAGATAAATTGAGCACTCTAAAAGAAACAAATTTTACTACTTCCACGTCGTTCTTCCTGAGTAACGCAAAATATAAAACTAATGACCTTGAAGGTCACGTGTATTCAATCAACACTTGAATAAAATAAACAATCAGTTAATCTTGAAGGTCTTCGTTGATCCAAAATCTCTGTACAATATTAAATGTAAAATTTCCCTCTCTCTCGATTGCCGTTCTCGAAACTATAGGCTTTGTGAATAATTAAACACATACACACTGTAACGGGGTAAAACCGTTTAATTATATTTTATTCGCGCAATTAAACCAAAGGGCGAAAGTAATTATCTATGCTCAAAATGCAGTCCGGAGAGCATGTGAAGATAGGCGTCAGTCAACCAGTAATTCTTAATAACCTATAATAAATTGAGTGGAAGCTGTAAGGTGTGAGCGAGTCGAAAAACACTTGTTAGTAACACGAACAGAACCTTTTATTATCACTCAAATACTACATAAGGTCGGCCCGCGTGTTTGTTTACATCGACGCTCGCTCATCGACAACGCACAGTGTCGGGACGCTCGCTGCGCTTTGTTAACAGCGCTATTACATGCACGCTTCGGAAACGATAATTTATTTGTTAACCATGCAACCGCGATCGCGAGATTAAGCTGGCCAGCTTACCTTATTACTGCAGGCGTACGGAGAAAACGACAGAATCACACACTGCGCGGTAATGTTTTTGTCTGTTTATCGCAGATCGCGAAAGCGCGCACGAGCGTGTCGGTGGTCAAAGCTTCACTAGTTCGGTTTCAATCGCGCGCGTTCCGTCTGCTCGCGTGCCGAATTCCTTCGTTACGAATTTCGTCCCCCCGGCAGGTGCTGCCCTCCCAGGCAGCAATTAAGTTAGGTTATCAGCGCTAATTTGACGTTTACCGTCACAACACACACACACGCGCACACAAACACATACACACACACGCACACACAAACATACACTCACACAGAGTTATTCCCAGCAGGCGAAACTCGGACAAGCTTCCCAAATAAAGCAAGTGGTTCACCGGAAGAACCATTCACCCTGCAAGAATTGAAGAACGCAGCTAGAAGATTAAACGCTGGAACAAACCCAGGACTAGATGGCATTTTAAATGACGTTTTACGCTAATTAAATTATTTTACATTAAGGTTTGAATTTTAGCTAAATTTTTCATTTTAATCTCATTGCTTTGTTTTTATTTTATTTGGTTACTTTTACAGTTTTATTATTTAACTAATCTATGTAAAATATTTATGCGCTACTTTTGTTTCTTTATTATTGTTGTTAATTTATTTATTTATTATCCTTTCTTTATTATTCATATTTTCGGTTATTGCAAAGGCTTTCGGTTTATTTCATTTGGCAGAAGTATTAATCTTTATTTATTAATTTAGTCCGATATGGTATAGATTTTATTGATTCTTAACGCGGATATCCTTGGGAGCGAAAAATGTATGTTTATTTTTTTGTGATTTTTTCATTCTCTATAATTCCGTATAATTTAAAGTTACAAGTATTAAATTTTCATTTAAGCATTGCTTCGTGGAAAAATGTAAAGTTGACGACAACGTGGTAAACATTGTCCCCGGCTTTACGACTTCTAAGACGCGCAGTTAGCGAGGGCGTACGGCAAGGAGAGCATATACCATTACGGCTCCATGCTTTTCTTATGGTAGTTTTTTTATATAAAAATAGTGAGCCTTCCCATTTTTGGCTTTGGCTTGCAGTTTTCAAAACGAAAACTCTACAAAACTGATCGAAACAATAGGCACTAAACTTCGCTATTTAAGGAAAAGAACCGTTCTCATTTAATTCAAAAAGCGATTCGGCGTCACACAATGCATAGATAAATATAAAAAAGAAAACGTTTTAGACCTGAGAAGATATATTATGAATGAAAAGTTACCTGATGCATCTGATTTTTTATAGCAATTGGCAGCATCTATATAATTTGTTGCGGAATCATGTTTACTACCAGCTTTAGCATGAAGATTAGCTGCTTGGCAAAATGCATTACCAGCCTCACTCCATTTTTTTGACATTTTAAATAAATTTGCAGCACGCTGATAACATTCCACAGCATCTTCAACTTTCGATGATCCTCTACAATGAAAATCGTTTATTACAATAGTATTCAAAAATTAAAAATTACAATTGTTATACTCATCATTTAAAGGAATTGTAAATAAAAAGTACACTGTTGTTTTGAAAATTTATTTAAATATTACACCAAAATCCAATTATACTAATAAGCAGAGTATTTTATATATTAATGGATAAACTATAGTTCTTTCTGTTATATTATATCCCTTAGTAGTTTTTTCGAACGAAAAAGTACGTGTCTCATTTCAACTTAGTAATTCAAATTCTACTTAAAACACCCAGTTATATTTTGCAGAAACTTTGCAGAGGTACAATGCGTTTATAAACTCTACTCAGGTCCCAAAAGATGTCCCTAACTTTAGATAAGTGATAACTCCAACTGGATATCTATATGGATTCATGTGGATTCCATATAGATTTCATCCTTTTATAAAAAATATGTTATTAAAAATGGTCTATTGTGCAAAATCTTAACTTCAAATACTTTTGTACATTAGAATAATAAGAAACAAATCAAAAGCTACCCGAGAGTGGCTCGAACCAGGTGCTTCGCTCTCTAGCTTCCCTCTCTAGCGTCTAATTTATTTCCTCATCTTGGCTCCAAAGGTGTATTTTATGGGCATACCTAATCTTTTAATTTTTTATTCTATTTCTTATAATCACTTTGAATATCGTATATGATTTTGCACAAAAATATTAAATAATATATAAAAATAAAATAAAAAAGATAAATTTCCATACAGATCTCCAGCTACCTACAGTTTTCTTTAATGGATTAAAGCTTTGTTTCAGAATCTCCAGTTTCAAATGCAAAAATACGTTTTTCCAACTTTCAATCTTTAATATTTTCTAAGAACAGATTGCCGAGAAAGTTCTTCATATAGTCAGTTAGAATCACTAGTTCAAATAGATGTTTTTTTTCAGTTTATTTTTTAATTGGCCATTGTGATCAAAACAAATAGCATAGTACAATTTTGAACCATAGTATTTTGTTTCAAATTTTATTGTTTTACAACTTTGTTTCTATATATTCATTTACGTGATATATTATACGAGTAAAATAAGAAAATATGTAGAAAGAAAGCTGCTTTACATATTTACCATGTAAACATTTATCCTGCTAAAAGCTTCAAGAAAGACCTGGCGCTTTTACTACGTTCACCATAATAATCTTGAGCTACTTTAACAATAACTCGGCCGACAAACTTAGGTCGACCTTGTGATCCAGAAATCAGAGTATATATATTTCCAAACGTTTTTGATGCGCTGAATCCGAATCTGAGTTTAAAATCTCTCGCTTCACTGTGATTTTCAAGATATCATAAATTAAAAGTGCCAGAACAGCCCTTTTTTAAAATCAGCTATTTCTTAGACTCGTGATCGAAACTTATTATATGAAGGACTGATTAAATGGACAATCTGTTCTTCAGTAACATTAAAGATTACCTGTTAACCGGGGAAACCCCTTTCTAATTACGCAACATATAACGGGCGCGTCGTTTTCCACTAAGACGTGTATGAATGACGTATTACCATAGTAGTAGTAAAATATAGGTCCCGCCCGTTCCAGGGCGCAATATAAATATCGAGGACGTATTCATATGTCCTACCCGTACTTATTGTTGTTTACTTTGGACGTATTTATACGTCCCACTCGGTTAACAGGTTAAGAGTTGGAAAAACATGTTTCCGGCGTTTTAAAAATTGAAAAATTAATGTTCTGAAGTAAATCATTTAGTCCAATAGAGAATGTTCTAGACAGCTGGGCATCCATGTGGAAATTCAACCTGGATTACCAATTTTCTCATCTTTGCTTTAAACAATATATTTTTATCTACATAACTTAATGTTATCTTTTTATTCTATTTGAATGTATTACTTGTCTTTTCTTATTCTTCTTTTTATTTATTCTATTTACATATATTTTTGTCAAAAATTATATGCGATATTTAAATTGATTAATACAAATAGAATATAAATGTGAGTATTAGTTATGTTCATGATATATACCATTAAATCTGAGATGAGAAAATAGATAAGACGGCACGGAGCGAGACCAGAAAGCAAGACCTACCTGATTCGAGCCACGCTCGGCTAGCTTTTTGTTGATTTCTGAATATTTTAATAAGGTAAAAAATTATTTAAAGTATTTATATAAAGAAGACAATTTTCAATAATATATTTTTATCAACGTATGAAATCCACCGGCATTTTTTCCAACCTGAATTGCCAGTTAGATTTTTTCAATAGAATGAGCTTACGGAGCCATATGATTTTAGGTTATAGAGTTATGTAATTCTGGAGTTATAAGTTTATGGGTTCAAAAAATACATCAGAACCAAAACTGTGCATCCCGAAATTTAGTCACAAATAAATGCTTTTCCTTGTTGATATTCAGGTTATGGGATTATATGATTGTAAGTAATGAGGTAATGGGATTATGACGTTTTACGGTTATGTAGTAGTGGAACTTTTGGTTAATTTGGATGATAATGTTATTTATGTAATGATATGTGACTATTAAATTTGTTTTAGTTGATAAAATAATTTTCTTGGTTTTTGCTATTTATCGAAAAGCTAGTTATTTATAAGTTATTCTGCTAGTTATTTATAAAGTTACAAAAAAAAACTGACTTTATAAAGTTATTTTTACTTTGGTTTCGGTTTCAGCAAGGTCATGCATAGAAAATTTTTTTTTGTAGACCTTGTAACGGTCGGAGAGATCGGGCGGAATGTCGCAGGGGAGAGGAGACAACAAAGTTCGATACCCTCTCCACTGCGGGATCTTGAGACGATCAGCGCCACACCGAGCTCATGTGAATTGCGAGCTTGGCAGGACACTATCGTTTGGTCCTCCCGAGTGGTTAAGCTTTAGGCTCCGCGAGTTCTGGCACTGTGCTGAGAAGTACTACGAGGCCGAGGTTCTGAATATAACCTCTTCCCAATCCTAGACTGAACGGGAGTCACTTAGGGAACCTAGCTCCGCGGGAGTAAGCAATGCGCTTACCTCTTCAACGGGCAATATTAAGAAACTCCTAAAAATTCCGAACTTGAATAACTATTGGATTCATTTCCTAGTTGGGTACGCAAGGTGCGTGCTCAACGTACGAAAGAGACAATAGTTTACCGTATAAAACCCGTTAAAAAGAAATTATACGCTAAGAATTTGGGTCTACGAACTCGACATGAAACAGACGCATCACAAAATTGGCGCTCGAACAGGCACCCGATTAAGCGTAAGAAATAAATACGTTTGAGGGAGCATAGAAGCGTTTCGCGGATTTGAATATTCAGAGAAATTACAATATTCATGTGCGTTATTGCCATTAGTATATCATTTTCAATAGTAATCGATCTGTGAGGCATAGCTGAATGATGACCACGCAGTTGTAAGAAAACATTGAACGTCGAAAGTGACACACTTAAATTCTCGGAAAATTAAAAGGAAAATCACCTATTTTCGTACAGTTTGCAGTGAAATAAGAGAAATTTAGATAGAGAGATCAGGATACCGTAATAAGTACGATTTTATCAAGTTTTTTTATTTATGATCATTTATTTATTAGCATCGTAAGGATTAGCGCATAAAGTTCAATTAGAACGGAGAGTATAACAAAATTTGAATAAGAACCGAAATACGAACACTCGAAGAGAAAGTATCATTGGAGCAAAATAAAGCAATGTTATGAGGAGGGCTATAAGTCTAGCTATTGATATTGGCGTATCTTAGGTAGACTGTACTCGTATGTACACAAATGCTACTACCTAAATATGGTAAAACGAAAAGTTAAGTTACAAACTCTCGAGACTTTAGTACTAGTTTAGCTTAAATTTAGTAATAGTAAAATTTATTTATGTGCATCAGAGTTGCATTATAAAAAATTTGCGAAAACACGTAGGTTAAATTATCTAGAGATTAATTATGACGTTACGTAAATGAAAATGTGAACGTAATCAAATCTCAATCCAGCAATTTGGTCACTGAACTTTCACATCTCGAATCAAAGCAACTAGTTTAGAAATGAACTAGAATACGAGTCGTACATTGAATATGACGGCTGTTGCGAAATTTAAATACGAACACATGATGTAGTTTCGATTACGGGTAACTAGTACCAGTTAACGAGTTTAAGTAAAAAGACTGAACAAAAAGTCGAACATTTCCCTGTAATTCTTTTAAAATCGTAACGTTTACGAGTTTAATATTGTATCTATGGCAAGTATGATCGCTGACTATAATGTCAAAAATGACCAGCATTGACAAAGACGTAGACTCGTCACAATATGAACGTAAACAGCAAGACTGGATAGAAACAGCCACGGAAGAATTAAACTTATTATACAAATCGCAAGAGAAAACAAATCGGAATCTAAAAGAAATTTACGTGAATGAAAGTATAAAAATTTTAAAAGAAGAGAACACGATTCTAAAAGCCGAAAATAATAAATTGCATAAAGATATGAGCGAATTGAACGAATTAGTAAATAATGACGTTTTAATAGTGAAAGTCAAGTCAAACTTAATAAAGCAATTAGACGAAACTAGCCACGATTTTGAGAAGCAAGTCGAAGAAATAAAAGATTCAGTTGCAAAAAAACGATAAAACTAGTTACTGTAATAGTACTCTATTGGACACCAGTTCAAAAATCAAGATAGCGATACCGATATTCAAGGGGGCAGACAGCGAAAGACCGATCAAGTTCTTAAATGATTTTGAAAAATATATGGCTTTAAAGAAAATTTCGTCTACGGAGAGTATCGACTTAGTATCCCAAGCGCTTGAACGTGATGCAAAAGAGTGTCAGATATAAACAATTACGAAGAATTCAAGAAAGTTTTTAAAGAGAGATTGTGGAGTGCTGCATTACACAAGCAAACTCCTCGCAAGGTAGTGTTTGCGCATTACCCAAACAGGAAACTAGCTCGGGTAAATTACGCTATAACCATTCATGAATATGTGAAGGAGTTAGAATTAAGATTATGCGAAGAGGAACTAGCT